GTCTTGTTTTGAATATTACAGAAACATGGCTTAAAATTCTTATTTACCCTTTCATTTGAAGACTATCTTGATAAGTTGAGATTGATTCTTAAAATTAGACATGTATTCTTCTTATCATTTATGACAGTGGATTTCTACCCCTGAACTTGATTTGCACACTTTTTTTATTGCTACCTTCCACCATTTGACGCGAATCTCGACACTTGCCTTAGGTGAAGAGATCCGGTTACTAAGTGTTAGGTGAGTGTCTTTGGCATTCCCTTTTCAGTTTGACGCAAATCTTGACACTTGACTTAGGAGAAGAGACCCGGTTACTAAGTTTAGGGTGTCCATTGACCTTTTGTTCTCTCTTTCTCTCTCTCTTCTTTTTTTTTTTTTTTTTTTTTTTTTTGCAGAAGCACAGTTCAGGGTAGTCCACTATCTCTACCAATTTTGAAGAATTTTTTTTGTCTAATTTCTCAATCTCTCTCTTCTTATCTTGGCAGAGGCAAACTTGGAAATATATTCAAATTTTTAAACGGTTTCGACAATATTCATATAAGACCAATTTTTTACTCCTATCACTTGCTACTAATTTCTACAGAATTTAATATTCTTTTATCAGTTTCCTCAACTTTTTCTGTTTGAGAATTTATTTTAATGGATTTTTTTTTTAAATTTCAGTAAAATTTTAATTCTACATATTTAAAGGTTTAGCTTTTCAATTTTTTTTTTCAATATATATATATATATATATATATATATATATTAATTTTGTCTATGTTCAGTCCAAACTTCAGAATGCACCCTGTTAGAGGGGTCAATGGGTCCCCCTCTAATTGAATGCCCAACATGCCGGACCATACTTAACAGGACCTGGGTTTGAAAACATAGAACAGAATTCTAATTCTAGACTGAACCATTTGTCACAGAAAAGTTGGAGCTATGGCTATAAATTAAGGTCATTGAAATTTGATCCATTCATATATAACTGGTGGATCAAATATGGATCTATCTCAATCCGATCTGATAATGAACCAATATCATAATATTTAAACATTTAAATTTATGCTGATATACACCTACCTAAAATTAATGTTTATCTATTAATAAAGTTGATTTGGATTTAATTTGTATTTTTACATACTAAAAAGTCAGGAAGCCTGACAGAGTAAGACCAGGCATATAAGATAGCTTGGACTGTTGGTGGTTATGTTATTTAATTAGTTTCTCTACTGAAATTAAACCTCTTCTTCTCTAATCTGCAATTCATACATACATGTACAATTCTTCCTGTAACGTAGAACTGTTGGTCATACTGCTGGTTATGTTCTTTAATTAGAACTGTTGGTTATGTTCTTTAATTAGAGTGACTGAGCCATCTGCATACAGACTTCAAATGGTAGAGATTTGTTTATTATAAGAATCTGACCAGAGATACTATTACAATATGAAAACCAGTAAACTGCTTTAGTAGCAGTACTGTTGGTCATACTCATATGTTAGCCTCTTTCCAAAACTGGCTAGATAGATCCTTTTACGGCCATATTATTATCCAACTGGAACCAGAAATTGCACTTTGAGATCGATTGTAAAATACTCTGTTTAAATTCTACAAATAGATGGGTTCTCCTGAACCCCAAGTAACATGTTAGTCAGCAATATTTTAGAAACCGTAATTGAAACTTAATTTAGAAACCGGACTTCATTACGTGGAGCAAGAAATACCAATTTGACATTTATAGAAACAAACTCTCACAATAATGAAGAAACCCTAACAAATAGAGAAAAAAGACAAGGAAAGAGAGAGATATTTACCTGTGAGTCAAATGCTGTTGATGTGTCTGAGAGAGACCGTGAGAGCTAGATGTGTGAGAGATATAGCCATAGAGAGAGAGCGAGTGCGAGAGAGAGGCAACTTAGTGAGAGAGAGAAAGAGAAAGAGAGAGACGACTGAGCGAGCGAGCGAGCGAGCGAGAGAGAGAGAGAGAGAGAGTATTGAGCAAGAGAGATCGAGAGAGGGATGACTGAGAGCGAGGGAGATCTAGAGAGGGACGATTGAGAGAGAGAACTTAGCGAGAGAGAGAGAGAGTGAAAATAAGAGAGAGACGACTGAGCGAGAGAAAGAGACGATTGAGCGAGAGAGAGCGAGAGAGGGATGGCTGAGAGCGAGAGATGGATGACTGAGAACGAGGGAGATCTAGAGAGGGACGATTGAGTGAGAGAAAGAGAAGCAGAGAGATGAATTGGTATGAGAGAGAGAGAGAGAGAGAGAGAGAGAGAGCGCGAGAGAGGCTGAGTGAGAGAGAGGGCGGGAGGAATTTTTTAGCGTTTGGCCTCTAGCGGCAGTTTTAAACGACTGCCGCTACAAATCTATCTTTCTAGCGGTAGTCGCCAAACAGCCAGGTCGAAAAATGCCGCTAGAATTTTTTTTTTTCTTGTAGTGCGCCCAGTTGCTAAAATCGCAGGTGCCGATCAGAGCTTTGACGATATTGTTGAGCTGCTGTCGAGTGAACGGCATCTCGGATGAAAATAGCACTAGGGAAGCGACTACGGCAATGGCGGTTCGTGGGTGTAGGAATGTCAGTGTCAAGAGGAGAGGTAAGACGACGTTAGCCATTACCAAAAGTCTGAGAAAGCTTTTAGGCAAAGAGAGAGAATATTTCATACTGGATGTTTGACGGAGACTGGGCGCACTGGATGTTAAAACCGCAGGTGCCGATCGTCGGCGCCGGCGAGAGAAAAAACGGCAGTTAAAACAGAGAGGAGAAAAGAAACGTTAAGGTGAGAGGAATATGAGTACCGGATGTTTTACATCACTTATCAGCGTAAAGAAAATTCAAAAACGAATTTTATACCGATTTACCATATAAAATTACACTCTTTCAAAACACCTATAAAATCAAATTAGAATGTAAAGTTGACCCCAATTCAATTTTCCACCTTTCTTTTTCAATCCTTCTTCATCGTTGTCAGCAACTTTGAAAAAATTTACATTTCTTTGGCCCAGTTTGCAAAATTCCAACAGAAATGTGTGCATTCCAAAACCTTGTATATTTGTGTTCGTACTCTTTCTAAACCGAGCCTTAATTTTGTTTTTGCTAATTCTTTCTGATCTCATTTGTTTGAAAATTGAAACCAAAGGCCAAAAGTGAGAACCGGATCAAGTGATCAGTGACAGGCCATCGGAAAGTAGAGTTATATTTTTAGACCCACAATCCTGAAATCAATTAAGAGGAAGGGCCAATTGGAGTTTCTTTCATTTCTTTTCTTYTTTGTATTTAATTTGGCCAAACAATGCTAGTATTCAAGCATTTAACAAAACAATAATGACAGATATATAAAAGAAATACAAAATACAAAATAAAAGAGATATTATATTATTGGTGGAAGATAAATAAAACTAAAAACCCAATAAAAATTTATGAAATGAAACAAATCATAAATTTTCTGATGAGAGTAGAATTTATCATATTTTTATCCCCAATTATTCTGTCTTTTATACTAAATTAGCATCTAATTGGACTCATATTTCTTGTATTTTGGTACAGGGTATGAAAGAAGGCATTAAGAGCAAAGAAAGACAAATCAGATGATTTTTCACAGTTTCGACATCGTT